ATCCCTGAATCTATTCCCTAACCCTCAGGAGCAAAAAGGAGAGAGGTTTGAAGAAGGTGAGCGTGCTGGATGTTGAAGGAGTCGAGGGGATTAGCTCCATCCTTACCCCATGCCCACAGGACCGCTGGGGGTTGTCCCACCCAAGCCCAAGCACTCAGAAATCCTTCACCGCTCAGTAATCAAGAAAAGCAAAGTAATTAAACCTCAGCTTCCGCAGCCTGAAAGCCCAAGCTATATCCCCCCGGTCCGGGCTTGGGAAATGGGCACGGAAGCAGCCAGGAGCTTCAGGCTCTGCTGGGCAAGACTCAGAAATAAATAATTGTAGCAGGATGAAAAATGCCAAGTACCGGGCTCGGACACCATCAGACAGGGGTGAATATTTCCCAGGAGGAGCTGTGCCCTGGGGAGGGAGATGCACGCTGTGATGAGGAGTTTGGTGGTTGTGCAAGGATGGAGGCGGGGGGGAGGGAGTTGGCCGGATCGGGCAGGAGATGGGAGCGCTGGGAACGAGCGGTGCGTCGCTCCGGGTGTCTTTGGTGGTGCTGGTGCGTGGGAAAAGGGCTGGACGTGGCATCGCTCCCCGGCTGCGGTTATCGCGGCTCCCAGCCCCAGCCAAGGCGGGAGGGCCTGGGGCAGAACGGACACAGAGCTGTGCAGCTACCAAACAAGATTTAGTGATCACAGCTGGACCCTTTGCATGAACCTTTTCGTGCCCTGCCTTGCTTTTTGGGTTTGCTGCGGGAGCCAAGCCCCACACTGAGTGCCTGGCAGCGCCCCATGAGCCCCACACCGCTCAGCCCCGAGGCCACGGGGATGGCCAGAGCCGCTTTCTCGGGGACAGAGAGGTCAGCAGTGGGTTTCCCCCCTGGCAGGCTCTCCACACTCATCGCCTGCAACCCGCAACAGGCAGCTGCCCAAAACCTCAGCGGAGAATCGCCATCGCCCAAGCCCCGGCAGGAGCAGCCCTGCCTCGGCACGGGGGGGAGACGCACAGCCTCCCCCAGGCCCCGAGCGAAACACACCCCCGTCAAGAGACCGACCCTATTTTTCGCGTTACACAATAAGAATACAAAAAGGCAAATTCCCGTGGATAAAGGGGGAAAGATGGGGGGAGCAAACAGTCACAGAAAACAGACCCATTTCTGAGAAATACTCTTCTCTGCTTAGCAAACAAGCGCTTTCTGTTTGCATCCGTCAAACAAACATGCTTGATTTTGTTTTGTTTCGTGGCCAAGTTATCATTTCTCCAAAATTATTTCAAGAGCACAACAGGAGCAAAAAATCAATTTGCCAAAACAGGCTTTGCCATCGCCGTGGCAAAGCGCGTGGCCCTTTTCAGAGCCTGAGTGGAAACCACGGGAAACATCAAGGTTAAAAAGAGGAGAAAAAACAAAACAAAAAAAAAAAAGTGCTTTGACTCACGTTAAACTCAGATTTGGCTTTCAGCATTAGAATCCAAGGGGGAATAAATAAAGGTATGGCATCAGCCTGCCAAGGAAACCAGAGGAGAAAGAAGTGGCCCTCGCCCCACAGCCGGATCTGCTCGCCATCTGGCCGGTGAGTTCGGGGGGATACCATGCAAGCGCCTGTACGTGCCGATGGGATCGTCAGAGCCTCGCCGCGGAAAGCGCTGACTGACGCCAATTAAAGCGAAATCCTAATCAAGCCGTTTGTTTCGGTGCTGCGAGAGCTGCTCCAAAGGTCTCAGCAACGCCTGGACTCGGTTCAAGCGCTGCATCAAAGTTGAGGACGGGTCCGCTCCAGCACGGACCGCTTGCTGCTGGCGAGGGCAGATGCTGTCGGGATGCGGTGGGAGGGGATGGAGACCGGCCTCATCCTCACCGCCTGGCCGGGGGAGATCCAGCTCCGACCTTGGCACGCACGCACAGCCTGGCCGTCACCCCGAGAGCAGGAGCAGCCCCAGCTCGGGGACCATCAATAAGCACGCCAAGCTGTCGGCCCCAACACCCACAAACGCTTTTCCTATTCTTGCAGGTTTTGCTGCAGCCAGGGGTAAATCCGACCCTCCTACACCAGACAGTAGCTCTACCCCAAGGTCTAAACCTAGATTTAAAGTTAATACACTGATCTGAAGTGCTGGTACCAAAGCAAGACATGACTGTACCCTCCAGCAGACATCACGAGGCAGGAGGAGATATCTGAACTACTGTGGTCCTCTGAACATCGGTGACTCTGGTCCTAACCCGACTCCTAATGGCAGATTTACAGTAGGCACGGAGCAAAGCCTGTGTCCTTCGCAATGGGGGAGTCTCCTCGCAGCCATCAATCCAGCTCCTTTAACCGCCGCTGAATTCGCTCTGCTCGGAGGAGTGGTGGGGACGGAGCTGGAAAGAGCCTCCTTGGCAGGGCTCCACTGCTCGACGGCAGTTTGGGGTCCTGGGCACCACCCCAGAGAAAATTACCTATTTCCAAGAGCCAAGCCCTCTCCCTTTGCAGGGGGACAGGACTTGCCGAGCGCTTCAGAGAAGCGGCAACTTCTGCTGCTAAGTTCTCAGCTTGCTTTTGTCGGCTGGGAAAAACCAAGAAGGGACCCTCTAGAAACACCTCTTGCATTCCAAATCCTTGGCTGCGACTCACCATCTTCCCACCTCACATGGAAAACGAGTGGGAAAAAGAGGAGACTCATTTCTTTTTCCTTGCCTGACTGCCACCCTTGCAGGGCTGGTGCCATGCTGGGTCCACCAAAGCCACGGTGAGCAGCATTGCTACTCTTAACCAGTTAACTCCTCCACAACAGATCGATGGAGACCCACCAGGCTGGAAAGGGAGCAGAAGATTCACACCTTCCTCGATTTCCTCCTCTGGAAGTGTGCGGTTTTCTCGTGTTCTTCTCCTCTCGGCTCCTGCCACAGCGCAGGACCTACTGGGGGATGCAGCAATGTCCCACTGACAAACCGTTCCCACCTCAAACCAGAAGGAAAAACCCCCAAAATTCCAGTGCAAAACACAGTCCTCCACCACCCCTCTGGCTACAAAACCAGTGCGCCGAGCCCGGCAGCAGCAGCAGCAAGCCATTAATTTCCAAGAACGATGCCCACTCTAAGGGCAGGACAGTGGGAATATCACCCGCGCAGTTTGCACACCCCATAGCCCACCTGCCCTTCTCCCGGGGCACACTAGTATTGATGCACAGGGACACAGACAACCCCTTCCCACCAGACCAGCTCCCCCCGCTCAACTGGGATGCGCATACAGCAGCTCTGGGCCGTGACAAGCCGCTGCCCTCCCTCTCCAGGACCACCTCCTCCCAGGCACAGGTTTTATCCCCCCCCCTTCCCACCAGGCTTCACCGACAGAAGGAAAGCATCCCTCCTGCTGACTCACCCTGGACTTGTCTTTGTTCTCCACCAGCACCGGGGCACAGCACCAGCATGATCTGCACCAAAACCCCTTTTTGCAGCCCCCCGCTACGGCAACGAGCAATTCATGGGCTCATAGAACTCTCCTCCTTCCAGTAAGTTTGCAGAGCGCCCGTACCACCCTGCTGCTGTCACCCTCCTATATAGTTTGTTGCCCAGACCTCCAACTAACCCAAACCCCTCCCCTCTTTCATACCCCCATGGCAAAATCCGTCGGATTTTTGGTGCTGGGGAGAGCCCTACCATTTGGGAGAGGAAAGGACTTTTTTTTTTTTTTTTTTTTTTGTAATTATTATTTTATTAAGCCAAACTCAGCAGGGCAAATTCCTAAGCCAGACACCCCGTCCTCCACCCCGGGCCACCCATTTCCACGCCTCTTTGCCCAGCCGTGTCATGACGCAAGACAAATCCAGAGGAACGGCCACCACACAGCTCCTGGGAACACGCGAGGGCTGCGGGGTGGGGGGGACACGACACGACGAGAAGCAACCAGCTGAGTTGCAGAAAATACATAGGGAGGGGATTCGCATTTCCAGGGGCCAAACCCAGCCCGTGGTTTAAGTCCTCCCACCGCTTGAAAAAGCAACTTGGCGTGAAATTCCTCCTTAGGGTGTTTTTGGGGTTTTTTTTTGTTGTTGTTTTTGCCCTGGCTTGGCCCTGCTCCACTCGCTGGCGTAAAGCCGGAGCGCGGCTCGCCCCGCGCACACCCCGCAGATGTTCGTGTCACCTACACAACGCGCCGGCGGAGGAGAGTCGCTCCCGAGCACATCGGAGTTGCAAAGCGCCGCTTTCCCAAGCGCTGCAATTAAAAACCTGCCTTTTTTTTATTTTTAATGTCCCTATCAAACATCCTCCGGGATGACTGCGCCCATCTGCTGCGAGGACAGGGACGGGTATCCGGGCAGAAGACGTCCCAGAAGTTACGGCAATCAAAATGACGGTTTCCTTGGCAGCCCCGTGCGCCCCTCAGATTGCGTCGGGGTCCTGTCGCCAGCAGCAGCGATGCCCAGCCCCACATTTCCCCACACACATCCCAAAAGAGTTAACCCTGGCAGGGAGCAGCAACCCCCTGCCTCCGGAGGAGGGGGATTTTTAAGGGGCAAGAGCATTTTTAAGGAGCAAGAGCATTCTTAAGGAGCAAGAGCATTTTTAAGGAGGGCAGCACCCATCTGCCCAGAGCCAGCTCCATCCTGCATGCCGCCCCCCCTCATCCCAGCAGGTCTGGGCATGGGATAAAGACACAAAACCCCACATGCGGGGTTGGTTTGAGGCGCATGAAGGCACCGCGGGAACAGAGTGGTGTTTACCGGCACTGAACGCGGCCAAAGTGCCCGAGCCATGACTACCGAAC